CCAGCCAAAGGAGGGATGTTTCCCGCATCCCAGGAGTTTCCATCACAGGGAAGAGGCCTAGCCCTCGGCCTTTTCCTGCCCGACTGGCCGAAATCCTCCCCAGCCCAACTGCTCGCCCTCCTAACGGTTTCCTGCTTCAGAGGCCTCTCCGAATGGAGGGCATTCGCTAGGCGGCACTGAGGCCATTCATCTGGCCACACCCGGAGGTGCCGTCCAGGCCCCACCCTCCGGACCCTCAGCTTTCCTGGAGAGACACCAGGTCCACAAATAACCTTAGACAAGGTGACTCCTGCCATGTCAAATGCAAAATGCCACGCATCTGAACAGGAACCATGAGCTTGCCTCCACCTCTCACTCGTCCCCTTCTCCCTGGGTTCCCGCCTCAGTGAAGCCACCCTGTCTTCCGGTTCTGCAAGGGGGACACCTGGCCACCGTCTTTGATTCCCCCTCGGTCCGTATCCCACCTCCTCAAAACCTAAAATACATCTCGCATCTGCCCTGCTCATCTCCACTGCGGCTCCGGGGACCAAGCCTCATCATCTTTCATCTAACAACTGCAGGGGTCTACTGCTGGATCCCTCTGCACCCCCCCTGCTACCCTCTGCAAGCAGGCAGAGCGATCATTTAAATGCAAATCTGATCTTATCTTAAAACTCCTCAAGGGTTTCCCCAAGCTTTTAGGATCCAGACCACCATCTTTCAGGTGGCCCAGCGAGCCCCTGCCACCTCCTAGACCCACCTCTTTTTGCTCTCTGTGTTTCAGTCTGTGAATGTACTAACTCCATCCTGTGGTTATACGGACTGTTCTCCTAGCCTAGCGTTCTCTGCCCACCACGGCTCCTTGCCCCCAAGCTCCAGCCCTGTTGCCTGATAATATATACCACCCTCAGGTCTCAACTCAAATGTCACCTTCCTAGGGAAGCCTTTTCATTTTCTTTTCTTCTTCTTTTTTTTTTTTTTAAATCCTCACCCAAGTGAGGTTATTTTTTCCATTGATTTTTAGAGAGAATTGGAGGGAGGAGGAGGGAGGAGAGAAAGAGAAGGAAGAGAGAGAGAGAAGAGAACAGAGAGACAAACATCACATGAGAGAAACACATGGATTGGTTGCCTCCCACACTCACCCTGACTAGGCCAGGGATTAAACCTGCAACCGAGGCACATGCACTTGACTGGGAATTGAACCCGAGACCCTTTGGTCTGAGGGCCAATGCTCTAACCACTGAGCAACGGGCAGGGCATGGGGAAGCCTTTTCTGAGGTCCCCCTCCTACTAGACCAGTGATGACGAACCTTTTGAGCTCGGCGTGTCAGCATTTTGAAAAACCCTAACTTAACTCTGGTGCCGTGTCACATATAGAAATTTTTTGATCTTTGCAACCATAGTAAAACAAAGATTTATATTTTTGATATTTATTTTATATATTTAAATGCCATTTAACAAAGAAAAATCAACCAAAAAAATGAGTTCGCGTGTCACCACTGACACGCGTGTCATAGGTTCGCCATCACTGTACTAGGTACTTATCCCCTACGCTACATTCCCCGGTATCCTGCATTCACAGCAGTTATGACCCTTTGTTGTTTTACATGATTGTTTGGTTAATGTCTGTCTCTCTAACAAGTCTGGAAGCTCCATGAGGTCATGACCCATGTCTGTCTCATTCACTATTGAAGCCCCATCCTCAGCGAGTGCTTGGAACATGGCAGAGCTCATGGCTGAGCTCCCTCCTGTCCTCATCTTTGGCATCACTGCCGTAGGCCTTTGTGAAATGGGGGCATCTGAGGCTCACCGGGAAGGTCCCAGTCCCCATGGTTACTCCTTTGATGTCCGAGGTTGGGTAATTTTCATCATCTGCTCGAAGAGAGAAGGTTGCAGGGAGAGACCAGACCAACATTCGTCAGATCCTGCTGCTACGCTCTGGCTTTGTGCAGCCACATCTGGGAAAGGATAGCTCCATCCACACATCTGGACAAGAAGGTCTGGTAAGAGACCAGTGAAAGCTGCTGGGAGGGATGGCCCAGCAAGCCAGGTTCAGGGAACAGATGGCCAGACCCAGAGCTCTGCAGGGCAGCTTGTTTACAGAGTTTCACTGGGGACCAGCCCCGGGAGCCAAGGTATCTAAGAAACACAGCCTTTGTCCCCCCAGGCTGGATAAGGCATCGCCAGGGGTATTGGGTTTGCTTACTCGCGTCACTGCCTCTGAGCCTGATCCCTCCTCGGGGACCATCTGTTGGAGGCTGACGCACCCCTCTCGGGGCAGGCGGCTCTGCCATCCCTTTTTCCAGTCCCCTGGCCCCTTGTTCTCTGCAGTCTTATTCCAGTCCCACAGCTAACAGGCAAACCTCACTTCACAGCTTCCCTGGCACCACTAAGTACATACCCCCCCGTGAGCCCAACAAAAGCCCCATTTTACAGAGGAGCATGCCGAGGCTGGGCAGCTGAGGCAGTCTGCAGCCGACGCAGCTGCTAAGGAGCAAAGCCAGCATGGGAAGCCATGTCTTCTGGCTCCAGATCCAGCATTGTTTTCCCTCTCAATTCCCATTTCCTGTATGTCTGAATAGCCCTCCAGTCCCCTTATCCTTAAAGTTCCCAGGGGCTCAGTGTGTGCTCATTTCCAGGCTGTGATCTGGCCCTGACACTGACAGGGAGGAGGTTCACTAAGTACATACCCCCCCGTGAGCCTAACGAAAGCCCCATTTTACAGAGGAGCATGCCGAGGCTCCGCAGCTGAGGCAGTTTGCAGCCGCGCAGCTGCTAAGGAGCAAAGCCAGCATGGGAAGCCATGTCTTCTGGCTCCAGATCCAGCATTGTTTTCCCTCTCAATTCCCATTTCCTGTATGTCTGAATAGCCCTCCAGTCCCCTTATCCTTAAAGTTCCCAGGGGCTCAGTGTGTGCTCATTTCCAGGCTGTGATCTGGCCCTGACACTGACAGGGAGGAGGTCTGAGAGCTTCTTGGCCGAGAGTCTGAAAAGAAGGCAGATTTTCACGGACCCGGAGAAGAGATGTTGACCACCGCGATCTGCTCCATGGCCCTCGAGTGGCCCCTAGCCAGAATCCTGGGGTGGGGACCGTTTTCTAGGTGGCCTGGCTGCCAGTCCTGGCCACCCTCAGTTTCCCCTGGGGAGCTCCCCTGTGGAGCCCTTGTAGATAATCCCACTCGTTTTGCATCGGCCAAAGGCAGGATGACAATGTCCTCAACGCAGGGATTTCAGACAGCACTGAGCCCAGTGGTGAAATGAGGAAACTCCGAGAGGGGAAGGGATCTGCTCCAAGCCACACAGCAAATTAGAAGAAATTTCAAGTTTCTTGCCTTTTAATCCAGTGCTTTTACCAGTGCACCCCATATAGTCATTGTCACAACTTGTAAAATTCATAGCCAGTACTTTTTGTTCTAGACAGCATGTCCACAACTACTTGTCTTATTTATTGCACAATAGCCCTGGGAGTTAAGTATTACTGAGGCCATTTCACTTCATATTTAGGAAAAACCATCATTGGATAGATGGAGTGACGGAGACACAGAGCGTTAAGAATCAAGGCCAGTAAGTCCAGTCTTCAGACTTCCAGTCTCTTCGTTAGACTACGGCCTCATGAACTTGTACCCTCCAACCCCTTAGAGAGCACCATTAATTGGAAGTTACCTTGCGCCAAAGCAGGGAGACATGCTTTGGGTTCACTGCTTTATCAAAGCCTCACCCTGTGAGGTAGGTATTAGCATCCCCATTTTGTAAGGGAGAAAACGGAGGTTCAGTGAATGGTGGTGAGAGTCAAACTCAGGTTCATCTGACTTCAAAGTCCACCATGTGCCTTAAAACATGAAGGAACAACCCTCAGACCCTGACCCAGTGCCTCACAGGGGGCAGGTGCTCATTAAATGTTTGCAGGAGGGGAAGGGAGAGGCTCTATCCCAGCATGTGTCAGGGGGCTGGGTTCAGAGAGGAGCTCGTGCGCCCTGCCTCTGACCCCCAGGGAGGCTGGCTGCTCCAGTTCCCTAGCCCTTGCCACTGTTTATCTGGCTGTCTTTGTACATGAAGCTCTTCTTCTCTGAGAGTTCCCTGAGGGCAGCGGCTGGGCAGGATACATCTGGGCCCCCCGCGCCCAGCCTAGGGTCTGGGCCACAGCAGGCATCGTTCAGTGATCCCTGAATTGAAGCATTGATGTCTGCTGGGGGAGGGCCCTTTGGTGAGTGCTACAAAGAGGGGTCTATAAGTCAGCTCTGCCAGATGTCCAACTGCTTTCTCTCCTCTGATGGGGTCTGCTCCTCTAAGAATGGAGACAGTCTCTCAAGGGCTCTAGCTGAAAGGACAACATGCTGCGAAGGAAAAGACTGCCCACCGATCCTGTAGCAGCCCAATGCCACCCCCTTCAGGAAGCCCTCCCTGCTGCCTTTGGTTATAAGTGGCCTCCACCTGTTTGGGTGCCTTCACAGCCCACAGTCTGTCTCTCGGTCCATCGTCCATGCTGTCCATGGTCTTTATGTGACCTGGAAGGTCACTGGCCAAGCTGCAAGTTCTTAAAAGACAGTAGCCAGCTCTGATCAGCCTAGCTCTCTGGTATCTATTTCGTGCCTCCGATTCATGAAGACCCAGTGACACTGAATTTGAGACCCCCCACCCCCCCATCACTACCACGTGGTGCTAGGCTCTTCCCCCACACCTAGCAGGCACAGACTCAGAGAATTACTTGTCTAAAGAGTGGGTTTTGCCCGGCCAGTATGGCCCAATGGTTGAACATCGACCTGTCGATGGTCACAGTTTGGTTCCCGGTTAGGGCACATGCCCAGGTTTCTGGCTCCATCCCCAGTAGGGGGCATGCAGGAGGCAGCTGATCAATGATTCTCTCTTATCATGAATGTTTTTATCTCTCTCTCTCTTTCTCTCTGAAACCAATAAAAATGTATATATTTTTAAAAAGCGGGGATTTTTTGGTTTGGTTTTGCTAAACAACTTAAAAAGGCTATTAAGTTGCATGGAAAATTGTTATATATCCCAAAACGCAATGTACAGGATGCAAGGGCAATATCTATTGCCTTACCTCCAATTATAAGCTATAAATAATTGAAAGCTGGTGGCATTTTACCAGGATTTGTGATTGAGGCAGGATCCCCTAGTCTCAGAAACTGGAGATCATTGAACCTATGAAATGCCCTCAAAAACATCCCTGAGAATAAAATGAACACCCCTTCCCCTTCCAATTCTGTTCTAGAGAGTCAGATCTGGGTGAGCCCGGAGAGATAAGAGAGCCCTTCTGTCCTCCCTATTTCACTGCTGAGGCAACAGGCGCACAACGGGAAAGCAATGGCCCAAGGTCACGTGGTGAGTTAGTGGCAGATTTGGGGCTGGGACCCAGGCCTGCAGGCGCCCAGTCCGCCCCTGTTGCTCTTTCAGGTTCTGGGTACCATGTGTTGGGTTCCTGACACTAATTAAGCGTTTGCTTGGGGCTAGGTCGTGTGCTAAGCTTGGCATATACTATCTCATTTGATTTTCCCAATATTCCCATGAGAATGGGTCTATTATTTATACCTATTTTATTTTTAATCCTCACCTGAGGACACACTTAGAGGACAGGAGAGAAGAGAGAGAGAGAAGAGAAGAGAAGAGAAGAGAAGAGAAGAGAAGAGAAGGAAACATCAATCAGTTGCCTTCCCTACATGCCCCTACTGGGGGGTCAAACTTGCAACCCAGGTATTTTCCCTGACGGGAATGGAACCACCAACCTTTAGTGCACAGGACGACCCTCAACCAACTGCACCACCCGGGCGGGCCATATCTACTTACAGATGAGGAAACCGAAGCTTGGGTTGTTCACAGAACTGCGAAGTAGCAGAACTGTCCGACTATACACATGTGCAGTTTGTTCTACAGGTTTGAAGCAGGTCCGAATATTTACCAAGAGCAGACAGACCTTGGCAGTAGGTGGTGCAATAGAAAGGGCGCTGGGACTGGAGCCTAGGCCGGTGCCCTGACCATGGGCAAGCCAGCTCTGGTTTTCTTCAATCAAAACCGTAGTCAAAGTCCAATTTGCTTAAAGGACAGACGTCTTTCTTCCCCTAGACGTACTATATGAAAAGTGCACCCAAATTAGGGTAAAGTTGGGACCGGATGGCTGTGCTGCACAGTGGATCCTGGACAGGGGGTGTGCCAGCAAGTCTATGAGGGTTTTCCCTAAGCGCCTCCTCGCCAACAGCCTCACCTGGGCACCTCGACAGAAAGAGACCACTCATGCCCTAACCGGTTTGGCTCAGTGGATAGAGCGTCAACCTGCGGACTGAAGGGTCCCGGGTTCGATTCCGGTTGAGGGCATGTACCTGGTTGCGGGCACATCCCCAGTGGGGGGTGCGCAGGAGGCAGCTGATCGATGTTTCTCTCTCATCGATGTTTCTAACTCTCTATCCCTTTCCCTTCCTCTCTGTGAAAAATCAATAAAATATATTTAAAAAAAAAAAAGAGACCACTCATTGGACGGACATCAGACCCGCGAGCTGAACGCGGTCTGCATCCGAGCATCCCCAGCCCTTAATGGCCGAGGGCAGCACCCGCACCCCACTCTCCACCCCCGCACACACCTGCGGGCCCTCGCCCACGCC